TCCTGCTGATTCTCCCAGTGTTAGAATCACGGAATTACGGAATCACAGAATGGTTTGGGTTGGAATGGGCCTTAAAGACCACCTCATCTCTTCCAGTATCCCAGGTGGCTCCAAGCTGGCCTGGGACACTTCCAGGGATCCAGGGGCAGCCACAGCTTCCGTGGGCAGAAGATTGGTTAAAGCTTCTCTTCCCTTCATAAAACACAAGGATGAAGCTCCCGAGTATTCCAGGGGCTGCTGACCACTGGAATTCCCTTTGGAGAGCTCGCAGGGAGAGCCTTCCCCAGAGCAGGAGATTTTCCAGAAGGGTGGGGTTTATCCCTTCAGCACTTCCCTGCTCCAGGGAAAAGTGGAGCTAAGCAAATCCAGCAGGGAGGAATCTCCCCAGGGTTTGGAGCAAATGAGGCCTGGGGCCATGCTCTGAAGGCTGGGAATGATCTGGGAACAAGGCAGAGCTGCCCAGTCCATGGGCACCAGGAGCCGTGGCACAGAAAACAGGGGCACTGTGTGCCTGGAAACCACAGTGGGACAGACAACACACAAACAGTTTAATCCCTTTTTCCATCCCAATCCTCCCCATTCCCCTTTCCCAGACTGAAGGTGCCCCACAGACTCAGCCCCCATCATCCCCAAGCCCAGCTCTGAGCAGCACCCAGGGCAAGCCCATCCTGGAGCAAATCAAGGAGCATTCCAGATGTGCCAGATGGAAATATTCCATCCCCACAGCAAGGCTGAGCACACAGCCCCTGGGAAAAGCAGGGCTACAAAAGCCCTTGGCAAGAGAGGTGGCTCAAAACCCAGCACGGCCCCAAATTCCTCCGTGTGCTGCCGTGGGATCCACGGTGCCAACACCTATGGATCTGCAGGAACTCATTCCACCTGCCTGGGAGGGCCTGGGACACTCAGGGCAAAGCTCTGGCAGCTGGAGAACATCAATAATTCAAAACCTGCGTGTGAGTCACGCTGCCCAACCCATCCCCCTAAGGTTACTTGGACTTAATATTCACAGAAGGCACATTGTTATTTCTTCTTCCAAAAACTCATGAATAATTTACCATTCATTACCCAAAATTTTCTTTTTTAAAAAATTTTTTTACAGTTTTTTGGGTTTTTTTGCAATTGGCTTCATCCAAAAGAATGAGAAAGCAGAGAAAATGTTCATTTCCCAACATCTCCTTAGTTCATTGTTGTTGAGCATAAAAGTATCCCTCAGAAATCTTTAGTGAGCAAAAGATGACATTTTTGGGGTTTAGTTTGAAGAACTGCATTTGTTTGGGAAGCAAAATTCACCTCTGCTCAGAAAAAAAAATGACTGGGGTGGGAAAAAAAAGGCAAAAAAAGCTGGATATTTGGACAATGCTTTATGGGACAGGGTGGGATTGTTGGGGTGTCAATGCAGGACTGGATGATCCTTGTGGGTCCTTCCAGCTGAGGATATTCCATGATTCTAAAGGAATTCATCAGAAATCACACTTCAGGCTGCCAGAGGAACGTGGACTGCTGGAGTCTGGTTCTCCCTGCTTGGCAGAAGTTGTCAAATCCTCCAGAATTCCACCTGGGATCATTGGAAATGTCCCCAGCTAGAGCAGCTTCCTCTGGCTGCTGTGTGAAAAAGTTATCCCTCCATGGCAGGCCTTGGCCATGGGATTGGGTGGAATCTGGCACCTGCTGGTTTTCTGTGTGGGAATGACATGAGATCCCACTGGGAATGACAGGAGATCCCACTGGGAATGTCACCTGATCCCACTGGAATGACACCTGATCCCACTGGGAATGACAGGAGATCCCACTGGGAATGACAGGAGATCCCACTGGAATGACACCTGATCCCACTGGGAATGTCACCTGCAGTGTGGGGCCTGCAGCAGTTACCACACAAAGGGATTTTCATGGAATTGCTCCACCTGGCTGAGCAGAACACAATTCCCAGAGGTTTCATTTTGGTGTCCAGACAAGATGGGTTTGGGATGGGATTAGACCCCTGTCACACCATCACTGCCAGCCAAAAATCCTCCCAAAAAGGGTCTTTCCCCCAGGCTTATCCTGAGCATCCAATTCCTCCCTTCAGGATTCCTGAAATCCTGAAAATTCCTGAGGGGAATCCAGCTGGGATGCTGGCCTGGGCTCAAACACACCTCTCCTTTTGGAGAGGGTGATTTAACCTGGAGCAGTTCCCAGCCCTGCAAACCATTGTTCAGTGCATCCTGGAGAGTGCTGTTGTGGGAATGGAAGCACTGGAGCAATTCAGGTTTCAATCCCTGATTCCTGCCAGGATAAAATGATCCCAGGACTAAAAGCACTCCTGGCACATTTATCTCGCTCCCAGCCTGAGCTTGAGTCCCTCCATGGGCCTGTTTTCAGATTTTTAAATTTCTTTGAGTACTTAAATCTTTCCTATCTCTAAAATTTGAGCTTCCCATTAATGAGGCCAATTAATTGATGTTCACCACTGCTTGACACAGCCCAAGTAGGACCTTGCCCATGATTTTCCCTGTAAATCCTGCAGGAAGGGAAGGGATGGTGCTGTTTTATCCTTGCCATTCCAAGGTGCAGCAGCTCCATCTCGGGCACGTGGTGGGACACAAGTCTCTGGTTCACATCTCTGCCTCTTCACCTCTTTCCTGTCACATCTGCACACCCACATCCACAGGGATTGCATTTCCAACCCCTCAGCCCCAGAGGAAACCCTGGATGCTTTGGGCTGACCCTCAGAGATCATCAATTCCCACCGCCAGGAATGAGCAGGGACACGAATCCTTCCCACGAGTCCTGCTCGGGATCCCTGTGCCTGGGGACACGGGGCGGCCGTGGGGACAGGACAGGACCTGTGAGGAGATCTGTCACCCTGAAAAATCAGCCTTCTGATTTTGTTTCTCATAGTTTCAAACACTTTCCCAGGACAGTAACTATAAACATGGATGTTTATACATTCCTCCTAAGAAACGTCTTTTGATGGACGTTTCACATGAGCAGTGTGATTGGGAAGGTGATAACTTAATTACCCAATCCCTGGTCATTGTCAGGGATCTATAAATACTGGAGTCAGAAAAACAAAGCTCTCATTTTTCTATCACACCCCTGGGATGTGTTTGTGTGAATCATTCCGTGTCCCCTGGTGACAGATTCCTCTCTCCAGGTGCATTTTCCTGTGGGATCCTGGTGGGGCTACTGAGACACCAGCAGTGATCTGTCCCTTCAGCACGGAGCTGTGCCAGGAGATACCATGGAATGTTTGGGTTGGGAGAGACCTTAAAGATTATCCAGTTCCATCCAGGGACATCTCCAATACTCCAGGTTGCTCCAAACCACCCAACCTGGCCTTGGACACTCCCAGGAATCCAGGGATCCAGCCACAGCTTCTCTGGGATACAGCCCTTTGACAGAGGAAAGCCAGAGGAGGAGAGGGATTTCCTCCTCCTTCAGTAGAGGAAAGGCCCAGAAAGTTTAGTTTTGTCACTTGAGCACAGAGGGAATGGCTGTGCTGGCTCTGACTGCTCAAATCCTTCTCCCCCAGTTTATCCTGGTTGGATTTTCCCCTCTCCAGCTGCTGCTGTGCCTCACCAAGCCTGGACTGACACAATTCTTTCACCAGACCTTGGCTCCGAGCAAGCAGAGCCTCCTGCTCCTCACACAGGAGCTTATCTGGGCCAGGCCTGAAGTAGCCCTTTGCTCCTAATGGAGTTCCAAATGAAATCCCACCTTCCAGGACACAAAAATCCCAAAAACCAACTCCTGGAGGAGACTAAATTCCAACAGGAAGATCACCAACAATGAGCTTGGAATCCAACACATCCAAAGGGGGAAAGAGGGGTTGGGACAAGAAAAACCCCTGTGGTGCTGGAGGAAGTAAAATCCAGCAAATTCCATCAATCACAGAATTCCAGACTGGTTTGGGTTGGAGGGGACATTAAAGCTCATCCCATCCCTGCCATGGGCACCTCCCACTGTCCCAGGCTGCTCCAAACCCCAATGTCCAACCTGGCCTTGGGCACTGCCAGGGGTGGGGAATGCAGGGAAATGATTTTCTAAGCAATGGTGGCTTTAATTTGTCTCCTACCATCACTAAAACCTGAAAACCTGTGCAACATTATCACTGTAAACGTGGGGTAAATCTACTTTACAAGTGACACACCACTGTAACAGCTAGGTCACTTTTAAATTTTTATATGAATATATATTACACAGCTATTTATATACAAACATACACATAACCCCTTTTATTTTCTTTATTTTTATCCTGTGTGCTGTATTTCTTTTTAAATAAACCTGTCCAGTTGCTTTTAGCAAAAATCAGCATTTCAGTATCATAGCCAAAGCTGCTTGGCTGTGAATGATTTCATTTTTTAATGTTAATTTTCATTTTCTAAATATTACTTTTCATTTTTTTAAATGTGACTGCCTAGTTTTTATTTAATATACAATAATAAACACCAGTTTTCCCAGTTTAGATTCTTGTTTAGATATTCCTGTTTAGCTTCCACCATGAAAAACTTGAGCATGAGTCTCAAACTACTCAAATTTAAAACCTGGCCAAATTAAAACCAGATTAAAACCTGGCCAATCCTCACCAACGCTTTCCTAAGGAGGAGACAGAGTTTTCCAAGGGATGGAAAGGAGGGAAGGAAGGGAAGCATCCATGGATTCCCTTCCAGGTGGCAGCTCTGCAAGGAGCAGAGGTGAGGGCACACAAATCCCAGAGTAAGCTGAAATCCTGAGGGACCTTCAGTCAGTTCAGAGGGATCTGAGCCTGGAAGGAGGAGATTGGGCAAAATTTGGGATGGAAATTTATATTAATTGGAAGTAAATGTCATTGGAATGTGGAGGCCTCCACATGAGCATGGCCAGTTTGGAAACCTGACTGGTTTTTAAACTTTGCTGAGCCTGGAAGTGCCTGACATTCCCTTCCTGGAGGGGCTGCTCCCCCAAGGCCCAGCCCAGGCAGGATGAAGTGCCAGGAGCTGCAGTTTTCCATATTTTTGGAATAGCCCAACTCACCCCTCGTGCCTTTGCCTGAAAAATATCCAAGTTCTTTCTAAATCCACATGAAGCAATTCCCAGTGGGGCGCCCGAGAGGTTCTCCAGCCTGTGCTGGGGCACGTTCCCAACAGTGAGGACCTGCAGGGGAAATTCCCAATAAAAGGTGTTTTTATTGCCTGCTTTTCCCAGCTGGGAAATGGGATGGAACTCCTGCAATGGCAGCTCAGGGCAAGGAGTGTTTAGAAGCAGCTCACAAGTTTTTTAATCTCCTGTGAAGACATAGCTCCTTGTTTTTTCCATGTTTAGTGGCTACTTTAAGTAGGATAAATCATAGTTTTACCTCTGCTGATTAGCAGAGACTTCATAGGAGACCTCGTATGCAAAAAACAGGAATTATAAACAAAATTAATTCCCAAATCCCGCTCTGGAGTAGTTCAGCACTTACCAATCCAGGCAGCTCTTAGGAGGTGTCAAAGAGGGGGAGTTTTGGGATCAACCAGCAGGAAATCTGCTCTGGGACCATGCAGCCAGGTGGGTGAGCCTGGCAGGAGGAGATCAAACAAGACTGGGGGTAAATTTGCATTAATTGGAGGTAAATTTGCATTAATTGGAGGTATAAATCAAACCTTGAGAACACTGAGCAAACACTGGGCCTGTAAATAATGACACAACACAATAAAGATTCCTCTGGCTGTCCTTAGGACACAAATCCCTGAGGTGGGATGAAGGAGTAGAAAAGAACCAAGGGAAGGGCTCTCATTCCCCAGGGTGGAAAAAAAACCAAGGAATGAAAGAAATGGGAATAACCTTGAGGTGTGCAGAGCTCCCTGATCTTCCTCAGCTTCCCCCGTTCCTGGCAGAGTCATAAATAAGGAAAAGAAAGCTCTGGAGCTCTTCAACAACAAGTTTCCAGGTATTCTATCAGCAAGAGCAGTTTCCAATGTTTATCATGGAGATAAAGCAGGAAAAACATTGCTCAGGCTGAATCCCATTGGCCAGAAAGGATCAAAACCCAAACCAATCTGCTCAACTGTTTTGCTGTACACTGGAATTTTTAAGCCCTGTTTTGAGGTGGAGAGCTCCAGTGCCTTCCTCATTAGTCAAAACACCATTATCTGGGACAACAGGACATGGACATAATGGCTAAAGAAATAAAAAAAAAAAAAAAAAGATTTTTAATCTTCCCCTCCCAGAGATTCACAGGGAATTTTGTCCTCTTTAAACTCAAAAGGAGGGCCAGGGCTTGGTTTGGTTCCACTGAGGGAGAAGCTTTTGGATGGTTTGGAAATAACTTCCAGTCACTGAGGATGAGCAGTGGTGGCCTGACAGACTCCCAGTGCAGATCCATGTTCCTGTTGGAAGGGGAAAGGGAGTGGAAGGACATTCCTACAGGAGGGAAAAAGCAGGAAACAAACACTGGGAATATCTGTGTGCTTATCCACACTCGCACTGGGCCTGGTGTGCCTCGGACTTGCTGCTCCCACAAGAAAAGCTCAGGGCACGGATTGTGGATATTGTGGAATATCCCCAGGAGGAGACTCCAGCCCCTCTCTGGGCACTGCCCAGGGCACAAGTTGTGCTCCTGTGCAGGGGGAATTGCTGGGCTCAGCCCCTGCCCGTGGCTCTGGTGCCATTGCCGGGCCTGGAGCAGAGCCTGGGCCTGCTCTGCCCCTCCTGCACCCAGGGACGGACAGGGATGGACAGGGATGGACAGGAGCACCCCAGGGACACCCAGGGACGGACAGGGACGGACAGGGACGGACAGGAACACCTCAGGGACACCCAGAGATGGACAGGGACACCCCTGGGACACCCCAGGGACACTCAGGTCTGAGGCCCCTCTCAGCTGGGGCTCCTCTCCAGGCTGAGCAGCCCCAGCTCCCTCAGGTTCTCCTGGGCATGGAGATGCTCCAGGCCCTTCCTCAGCTCCAGGAGCTCCTGTCCCTGCTGTGCTGAGGAACCAGGGCTGGATAAATCTCCATTATTCTTCTACCACCCTTTGTCTTAATCCAGAAAAATCCCTCCATTTTAATTTCTGGAGGCCTCAACCCCTTTTTTCTGCCCTCAGCCTCTGTGCCAAACACAACAGCATTCCCAAGCCACCTCCAAACTTCTCCTGAGCTCCTGAAGTCGTGGTCTGAACATTCCTCAGGGGTGAGTTTTCTAAATCTCTCCACTGGCTACGCACATCTGTCAAATTTTGGGAGAGAGACAGGGGCAATTTATCTTGGAAAAATAGCACAAGGCATTGCCCTGACCCCATGGCATCCCATTGTGAAATCCAAGCATGGAAACACCAAAGCTTCTCAGCAGAACCTCTGGAATAATTTTGTTTTTAATGCAGCATGGAGAAATCAACATCATTTTTATTCTTGGGAATGACTGAACTCATCCAGGCAAGTCTTCCCCAAAAACATCACTCTGCTTGACCCAGAACCACTGAAATGGCTCAAGATTTTGAAAAATGAGGGAGATGCAGGAGAGTTTCCTGTGTTCTACCTGTCCATGCACATCCTCGTGCCTGTCATGAGAGGGAATCAACAACAAAAACAGGCAGCATCCTGCTCTGGCACCCTTTGGATTGTTCCCTAGTTCTTCTGGCATCCAAGCAGTGTCCTGGGGTAGCAGGAGAGCTTGGAGCACACCCAGGTTTCACCCCCAGTGCCTGTGGGGATGCTCACAAACACATCAGAGGGGAGAGGTGCTGCCAATGCCAACAATTCTGGAGTAGGGAAGCACCCCAAACACTTGGAGGAAGGAGTTTGGAAAAACAGATGAGCCTGGCACACTGAGAGCTTTCTTTGGGCAGGAATTGTTCCCTGGCAGGGTGGGCAGGGGCTGGGATGGAATTGCCAGAGCAGCTGGGGCTGCCCCTGGATCCCTGGCAGTGCCCAAGGCCAGGCTGGACATTGGGAGCAGCCTGGGAATGATCTTTAATGTCCCTTTAAAGTCCTTCCAACCCAAACCATTCTGGGATTCTGGGATTTTCCCACATGGGTGAGACCTCCCAGAGCCAAAAGGAAGAGATGGAGCCTTTTCCCTGCACCCAGTTTCACTGGGAATCACCCTCTGGAGATTCCATGGAGCACTGGAACAATCCACACCTTCTCCAGAGTCCTGGTGCGTTTTGCTGCTGTCACAGCTCTCAGAAATTCCAGCTGGGAATTCCTCCCTTCAGCAGCCCCCAGGGTTGGTGTTCCCAAGGAGAGTCAGAACTGGCTCCAGGACTTGTTTAGTGTCACACAGGGAGTGGGAATAAGGGAATAAACACCTCAAAAGGAGCGGGAATTCAGCTGGAATTCCACCCCTAAGGTCTGCTGGAGGGAGAATTCCCAGGCATTCCCTCTCAAACCTCCCTGTCTCTCCAGCTGTGCACTCCACACATTCAGAGCTCTCTTTTCCTCCCATTCCTTTCATCCAGCACCTCATTTCCAAGGAGCAGCTTCTCCCTTCAGAACACAGCAAGTTCCTGGGCTGGCCAGCCTTGTTTTCCACGGGGAAGTGTGTGTGGAGCCAGAAAGAGCCGAAGCATGTAGAAATACTGCCCTGAACACTCTCCCTGCAGCTGGATCTCTCCAATTTTCCACTGCTGGATGCTGCTGCCAGGGTGAGAGGAGCTCCCAGAGCCAGCCCAGTACTTTTCCATGGAAGGATGAAATCCCTAAGAATAACAATTTATCAGAGGAGCTGTGGCTGTTTGACCTGGCTCGTTTTCAGAGATTAGGAACCAACGAGCTCCCGATGAATTGTGGTGACTTTGTGGCTGGGTTTGTTTTTTTGTTTTTTGTTTTTTTTTTTTCCTAAGAAGTGATTTTCACGTTTCATCAGTTCTCGGGGAAGGCAGGGGGGGAAGGAATGCACATCTGTCTTCCCAAGTGGATCAGGGAGAGGATAATAACAAATAATGATAACTCACCCACGTGGAGGGCCTTTCATCCTGCAGGAGCTCGGGAATGCTGCAGTTTGTGGGAATGCTGGAGTCTGTGGATTGCAGGGAGAGCAGGAGCATCACACAGGGCAGGGCAGAATCCCTGGAACCCTGCAGGTAGCCTGTGGGAATCTCCACAGGTATTCACTAATAAAAAAGTGAATAAAAGTAAACTAATAAAAAATAAGTGTTTTTTAGCAGAATTTTCACATTCCTGCTCTCCTGGAGCAGATTTTTTACAGGAACAACTCCTTGGTATTCAATGCTGCCTGAAGAGCAGGTGAGTGGAAAGGAGTGGGAGATAGCCATGCTGTGATGGAGGAGACAGTCATGGAATGGGCTTGGAAAACCCCCAGGATGCCGGTGACTGACAGGGTCACTGTCATCATCTCCCTGAAGAAACAACCCTTGGCCAATCCTGCAGGGTCCCACCTGGTGCTGGGCTGGCCAAACCCCAAAAATGTGAGTGCACACAAAGCCAGGCTCACAGAATCATGGAATGGTTTGGGTTGGAATGGACCTCAAATATCACCCATTTCCACCCCAGCCATGGCAGGGACACCTCCCACTGTCCCAGGAGCTCCCAATGTCCAGCCTGGCCTTGGGCACTGCCAGGGATCCAGGGGCAGCTCCAGCTGCTCTGGCAATTCCATCCCAGCCCCTGCCCACCCTGCCAGGGAACAATTCCTGCCCAAAATCCCAAGATCCAGCCCTGCCCTCTGCCACTGGCAGCCATTCCTGGCTCCTGTCTCTCCAATTCCTGATGAAAAGTCCCTTTCCATGTTTACTGTACCCCCTTCCGACCCTGGAATTTGCTGCAAGGTCTCCACACAACCTTCTCTTCTCCAGGCTGAACATTCCCAGCTCTCCCAGCCTGCCTCCATAGGGGAGCTGCTCCAATCCCCTTAGGAACTTCGGATTTTCTCCAACTTCCACATCCTTCTCATGCTGGAGGCTCCAGGATTGTTCCCACTGTTCCAGGTGGGATCTCAGGAGAGCAGAGCAGAGGGGCAGAGCCCCCCTCCCTGCCCTGCTGCCCACAGAGCTTTGGGCACAGCGAGGCTCCTGCGCTGCATCAAGCTGGGAAAGGCTCAAACTCCTCACAGGTTTTACCAGGCAAATCCTGCCTCCATGAGAAGCCAAAGGAGGGGAAAAGGAACCTTCTGGATGCCTCCAGTGAGATGGAAAAAGCAAAATCTGCCCTCATGTCAGGTACCTCCAGCATTTCAGACATTTCCCAGCCAAAAACATCGGCGTTAACCTAATGAGCTGCACATTCCAGCTCTTTCCCAACTCCAGCCTTGCCTACTGGGATGATTCAGAAATGCCAGGTGCAACTTCAAAGCAACCATCAGGGTTGGTTGTTGTGATAGCCTCTCCAAACGAGATCCTGGGGATACACAAATTAAAAATATAACAGCAAGTGATGAAGATATGGAAGTGCTGCTTGGGAGAAATTGCTGGAAAAACCAACCAGATTCAGTGCTGGAGAAGAATTTCCATGGGCTGAAGTTAACTTTCCCCTGCCTATTAGGAATTTCCCATCTCATGGACATCTGTCAAACAAAATGGGAAATGTTTTTAAGGCCTCTGCCAAATTTAGCTGCTGTTTGCTCCTGCCTGGCCCTCACCACCACTCCAGAGGTCACACGAGAAATGGTTCTCACAGCACAACACCAAGTGGATCCTCCTCGGTCCAGGATAACCCCAGCCTTCCCATTCCCTCCAGGAAAACCCTGTCTACGTGCTGGGATGCCACATTCCCTCTTCAGAGCTAAATTTGTCCAGTGCTTGACATCTGGGAGACGTTCACAGGCGCAGAACGTGGAGGGAGGAGCTCCACCCGGCCATGGCCGCCCCGTGTGAGCATAGAAAAGGTGCAATTCCAGCCCAAATCTGCCTCTGGAAAAGTTGTCACCTTCTCCTGCAGCTGCTGATCCTTCAGGGGACCCTCGGAAGGGGCAGCAGTGAGGCTCTGGCACTGCACTGGCAGCAGGAGCCCAAAAATGTGGGGACAATCCTTGCAGGAAGTGGCCACCAGTCCAACACCTTGGGGACACCTTGGCAAAGCCCAGGGGGAATTCCAGATCAGTGGAGCTCCTTGGGGAAGTGGCCTGGCCAGTCCAACACCTTGGGGACACCTTGGCAAAGCCCAGGGGGAATTCCAGATCAGTGGAGCTCTTTGGGAATTACTCCTGGCTCATCATTCAGGCAGGGATGGGGCTCTTTTCTCATGGAAAAGTTTCCTTCCGGGTGTTTCTAGGATATTTTTGTTGGAATTTTCAATAATTAATGTAAGAATCAGAAAAATCTCAGAATATGGTGCTGGGGTGCAAAAAACTCACGCAGGGCTTGAGCCACCCTGAGTGCAGCTTTGTTAAGACACACCCAGACCTGAATTAAAATTGTATTTAAGGGTGGCAGAGCAGATCAGGATTGCTCAAGTCAGTCCAAATAATGCTCCATCCTCCTTCCAGAAGCATTTTCCAGACAGAAAATTCCCATCTTCTCTGGTGGCTTCTGCTCAGGGAATATTGTGGTGCCAAGGTCATTCTCATGGAGTGACAGAAACCCTGACTGTCCTTGGGAATTTGGAGAGTGAAAGTATCTGATGAGTGAGGCTTAATTGTACTTCAAGGTGCTCTCTAACCCTGGATCAGGGCTGGTTTTGCCTTCCTAGATCATGGAGTTACAGAATGGTTTGGGTTGGGAGGGATTTTTAGGATCACCCATTCCCAGCCCTGCCATGGCAGGGACACCTCCCACTGTCCCAGGTGCTCCCAATGTCCAGCCTGGCCTTGGGCACTGCCAGGGATCCAGGGGCAGCCCCAGCTGCTCTGACAATTCCATCCCAGCCCCTGCCCACCCTGCCAAGGAACAATTCCTGCCCAAGATCCCATCAAATCCTACTCTGAAGCCATTCCCTGGCTCCTGGCCCTGCAGCCCTTGGCAATTGTCTCTCTGCAGCTTTCCTGGGGCTCCTTCAGGCCCTGCAAGGGGCTCTGAGCTCTCCCAAAGCTTCTCCTCTCCAGGTAGGACATTCCCAGCTGTGCCAGCCTTTCCTGCCAGCAGAGCTGCTCCATCCCTCTGCTCATCCTGGAGCCTCCTCTGGGCTCTCCAGCAGGTCAAAAAATATCCCAGCTCCCTGTCCAGTGAAAGCAAAGGAAAATTGCTGAATTTGAAGTCTCAGCTGCAGAGCAGAGAGGGATTGATCCAAAGAGGATTAAAGGTGAACAAGCTGGAGGGGTTTGTTCTTTGAAACAAGTGGTTCTTAGAACATTGGGAGTTGACCCTTAATTTGTTCCTTTTTTACATTAAGCTGGGAAAAGTAAATGGATTTTCCAATCCAATAATATTTATTTTGTTCTAGCCTGTTATAACAAGCTTGTGCTGCCCTGAAGGCAGCTCTGCATCCAGGGACTCCATTTCAGAGCTGTTGGTTTCTGGGAGAGAAGCAGGAAAAAGATTGACTTTGATGTTTTGTAGCCCATGGCAGAATCGTTCCTGAGATCCCCTCTCCTCCCAGGAAAGGAACCTTCTGGCTGTCAGCAAAGTGGAAAAATAACATTTTAACATTCAGCAAAACTTCAGGTGATTGAAAAAAAAACCCCATTCCCAGAGTTTGGGATGTCTGAGCACATAGGGAGACAGAATGAGGTGTCCAGCAAGGAATTCCAGGCAGTGTTTGCATCTCTGCTGCTCCCACCTCCTTGGGAAGGTGAATTCCCCAAATGTCAAACAGGCTGATCAAACATGGAATTGCTCCTGTGACCTGACAGGACCCAGGGGGCAGCTGCAGCTGGCCCAGCAGGGATTTAGGTTGGCTTTTAGGGCAAGGCTCTTCTTTCCCCACAGGCTGCTGGCACTGCCCAGGCTCCCCAGGGAATGGGCACGGCCCTGAGGCTGCCAGAGCTCCAGGAGCATCCAGGGATGCCCAGGCTGGGCTTGTTGGGGGTCTGGGCAGGAGCAGGAGCTGGATCCATGATCCTGTGGGTCCCTCCCAGCTCAGGATATTCCAGGATTCTGTGATTCTCTGAACCCGCTCGAAGCGGAGCATGCAGGACAAAGGGGAAGCAGAATTTCCCATTTCTGGGGTTTTCTCCTGGTGCTACTCCCAAGACTGGCAGAGCACGAACACCCCAGCTCCTGGAGCACAGGGAACATCCCTGTCCCCACCACAGCCACCAGCCTGAGCTGGGACAATCCCGACATCCCCCAGCCCTCCGCGTCCCCAGCAGCGCTCACCCCTGTGCTCCTTCATCCAGGGGCGCATTCCCGAGGGGTTTGTCCAACTCCTGACTCGCTGGGATCCCTGGACACAACACAGACACCCATGAGGATCATCCCATTCCCAGAGCTGCATCCAGGAGGCCCAGCTGGGTAATTCCTCTGTGTTTCCATGCTGAGACTGGAAATTCCCATTGAGGACACATCAGGCACTCCCTGGGAGGAACGAGAAGGATTAGGATGAAGCTGGGAGTTCCCAAGCAGGACATTGAGCTGAGTCCGAGCTCTCACCATCACTCTGCACTTCTCATTCCTAATTTTTTCTTCCATCCTAATTCCCACAGGGTTCCCTTTCCACACCTGCACTTTCCCATCCCTCAGGCAGATGGACAAAGCCTCCAGAGCTGCTGCCATTTCCCCACATTCCTCTCCTTTTCCCGGATGGATCCACCCACACTCCTGATTTAACACACCTGGGAAGGGCTCTCTTCCCATCCCTCACCACCAGAAAGTCATGGAGGGTCTGAGGTTCCATGGGATGGTTTGGAAGGGATTTTCTAGTCCAACCTTCCGTAATAAACAGAAACACCTCCAAGATCCCAAAACTCCATCCATGTGGGTGAGGCATCCACAACCTCTCTGGACAATCTTTTCCAGTGTTTTTCCACCCTCACTGTAAAAAAAAAAACTCTTCCTTATATCTGATCCAAGTTTGTTTTTAATTTAACCCTCTCACCCTGTGTCCTACAGGCCCCTTTAAGAAGCCAGTCCCTAAAATTCCTTGAGATATTTCACATTTCTATAGGATTGAGGTGCAAGTGCGATCCCAAAGTGAGGAATTCCTTGCTTGAAATGTTTTGGGGGTGATTGGGAAGGGCAGGGATTAAATTCAGCCCCAATTCCGAGCAGCTGGTTGTATTTGGGGTTGGAATGGGATGGTCTTTAATGTCCCTTCCAACCCAAACCATTCCATGATTCCTTATTCTCTCAGCCTGATTCCAAGAATATGGAAGTGGGAAACAATTAAAGAGGGTGAAAAAAGAAGTGAAGGAATCCACAACAAGGATATATTCAAATATTTTAAAATATTGTGAGCAGTGTAAGAATGGAAGAGAGATCAAAAATAACCCCAGAGGAAGAGAGAGGTGACAAAGGGACACCCAGACATGCTCTGAGGGGACATTTTTGTTCTACTTCTGTTAAACAGAGAAAAATCTGGGAAAATCAATGGATTTCTTAATCTGGAAATAGAAATTTGACTTGGACAAAACCATAACCTTGAGCAAGAGGAAATTCCTGGTGAAATTGAGCTCCCTTTGCCTTTCCTGAGGCCTGGGATCCTCATTTGCAGGATTATTATCCTCAAATGAAGGATTTCAGGGACGTTCCCCTCACTGTCCCACTGCAGATCTGCAAAATCCAGCTGGAAAATCCACAGTGGGAGGAAACCATTCCAGTTTGGAACCAGATTTTGTTTTAAAGCATCCAAGAATTTAAGCAGAAGCAAAAGGAGCCGTTTCCCCCTAAATTAGGAATCTGCTAATTGAGAAGAGCGAAGGCTGAGATTAGAGAGCTTTTATTGCTGGAATTTTTGTGGGATAATCCAGGGTTCTTTTTGTGCTTTTGGTGGTTACAAAGCAAACAACAACAAAACCAAAACAAACCCCCCAAAAAAAGAAGAGGAAGAGAAGATTTAGGGATTAATTTCTCCAAACATCAGTTTCTGCTGTGTTTCTGTAGCTTTAGGGAGCTCAGGGACACGATGGAGAGCAGGATTTGGATTATCCAGTGGGAAGATCGTTCCTTAAAGACCCAACACGGTCAAAAATCACTGGGAGGGCGAATTTAGAGCAGCACTACAGGAAGGAAAGGCGGGAATAATCATGGAAGTTCATCCAGGAGAGAGATCTGTGATTCCAAAAAAAATAAAGGGAAGAGATTTTTGAAAATCAGGTTAAAAACAGAGCCGGAAAAATGGCACAAATCTCACTTTAAAAAGTTCCCAAAAACAATTTAAAAAAGGAGAGAGGGACAAAGGAGTTTTCCCAAGAATGTCCATGGAAAACTCTTGGACAAGGAATTCAGTGGGAGAAGTGCCTGGGGCAAGTGAGTGAAGCTTTGGATGGGATTTGGAGAAGGTTGGGGTGGCTTGGCTGGGACCTTTTGCCCAGTTCCAAATGAGGGACAAGTGACAAACTGGGAGATAACTGGGATGAAGGGACAGAGTTCAGTATTCCAAGGAAAAGGAGCTGTGAGAACAGCAGCAAGGAAATAAAGGGTCTCAGGAGGTCGGAGTCCAGCAGCTGGAGGTGGCTGGGGGAGTTTTCTAGGAAGATAATTGGGAATAGTGATGGAGACTCCATTAAAAATGCACTGGAAAGCCACAAGATTCCAAAAAAAATAAAAGGTCTGGATGCAAAATGGAGCCCTCAGTGCCCAGGACATCAAGCAGGGCTCGTGCACATCATGGGAGCCAAAACAGAATTAAGGATGAGTGGATTGGAGCAGGGAAATCCCAGGAATCCAAGGGAATGTTGAGTGATGAGGGATAAAGGCAATAAAAATAATTTAGAGGAGTAGAAGTGGTGATTTTCCAAGCAGGAATGCAGGAAATGCCACAGATCTATGGGAATGTATTTTGTGTGATCAGAGTTAATTCGGATTCAATATTCCCAAGGAAAAGCCAAGGTGGAAAACACAGGTTAAGAAGATTTCTGACAAATTATGGATTTCTGACAAATTAGGGATTTCTAACAAACCATGGATTTCTAACAGATTATTGGTTTCTTACAAATTAAGGATTTCTGGCAAATTAAGGATTTCCAAACCATCTGAGGAAATCCCTGGCATGAGAAGGAGCCAGCACCAGGAATCTGAGAACCATGAGTGGCTGGGAAATAGAAATCACAGCATTTCCCTGGAAAAATGATGGGGAATTCCAGAGCTGTCAGCAAGACAGGAAGCCCTGGGAAGCAGAAATTCCTATTAAATAAAACTCCTGTTTCACCACTTCCCAGAAGATGCTCCTGAGCAGTTTTCCTGGGCTTGGCAAGAACAGATTGGGCCAAATTATTGAAATTCCAGCCTTAAAAATGGGAACAGACATGGTGGATCCAGGGAAATTATGGCACAAGGTGTTGTTTGGTCATGGAATCATGGAATAGTTTGGGGATGGAAGGGATTTTAAGGATCTTTCTATTCCCGTGGGCTGGGACATTTTCCACTGTCCCAGGGTGCTCCAAGCCCTGTCCATCCTGGCCATGGATATTTCCAGGGATCCTTCCAGGGATCCTTCCAGGGATCCAGGGGCAGCCAGAGCTTCTCTGGGAATTCCATTCCAGTCCCTCAGCACCTTCCCAGGGAGGAATTTCTTCCCAACATTCAGTGGAAGGGAGGAATGATGATGCTGTGAGAGGCACAAAAAAGGCAGAAATGGTGGAGAATTCCAGGGAAAGCCACCGAGCAGGCACAGAATCCTGGGCAGGAGGATTTTGAGGAATATTAGCTTTTCACACCACCTTTCCCTTTATTTCTCTCACACAGAGAAAAACACCCAGAACAATTTTATCCAACCTACTTCAATTAACAAATCCCTGCAGCAAATCCCAGATCCCAGCAGTCTCAGAAAATATCTTCGTTCTATTCCTCACCTAATCCCATTTTTCTCAGGGACTGAAACCAACACAGGATGGCTCAAAGCATCCAAGTTTTCTCCCTGGGCACACCAGATGGGAAAGAGGCAGGGAGAGGTTCTTCCAAAAGGAAGTTGGGTGCAGAAACCTGATTCCCGTGTCCAGGATCGTGCTGGGCAGCAGGTTTTCACTCTGGATCTCAGAGCCAGCCCAGGAGCCTGCCTAAAATTAGTCTGGACTAATGTGTTCCAGGAGAAACTAAGCCAAGGATTCTTTTCAGGACACACATGGAATTCCAAGTCGGTTTTATGTTAAAAAAAGCCATATTTGCTAAACGCACATATTTTAATTCATTTGAATTTAATTAATTTTTCAGTCTTCCACTGCATTTCTCAGTCCTCTCCATGAATTCTTTTCCAGTTTTCTAGAATAAAAAAAGAAATATAATCTCAAAAATTCAGGCAGGCAGATGACAACGAGCTTCACAACAAACATTTTGTGTGAATTTAAGCTGCCAGGCACAGTCAAGACCTTTTAGCTCTGTTTTCTCCATGGAAGACAAGAAAATGGAATTAAAGCCTGATATTTTTACCAAGGAAATTCAAGGACTTCAATGAAAAGGCCACTTTGACTTTTAAATTCCAGGAATAAGGAGCCTCCCATAAAAATACATTTTTATATTGTTGGATTATTCCTATTCTGCTCAGCCCAGTGGAGAGAAGCTCCAGGGAGTGCTCAGAGCCCCTTGCAGGGCCTGAAGGGGCTCCAGGAGAGCTGGAGAGGGACTGGGGACAAGGGCTGCAGGGCCAGGAGCCAGGGAATGGCTTCAGAGTAGGATTTGATGGGATCTTGGGCAGGAATTGTTCCCTGGCAGGGTGGGCAGGGGCTGGGATGGAATTGCCAGAGCAGCTGGGGCTGCCCCTGGATCCCTGGCAGTGCCCAAGGCCAGGCTGGACATTGGGAGCTCCTGGGACAGTGGGAGGTGGCCCTGCCATGGCTGGGGTGACACTGGAGGGGCTGTGAGATCCCTCCCAACCCTAATCCTTCTGGGATTCTGTGATTCCAGCCAAAGTCTGAGCCTGCAGATGAGCAGAGGATGATGCTGGAAAGGTCACACATTCCCCTGACTGCTCCTTTCCCCTGGAATGCTCATGGAGTCCATGGCACTGCAGCTGTGCCTGACGGAGCGGCTGAGAACCGAACTGGGAAACAAATCTGTTTGCAGCTGAATTAGAGAAATGTGGAATTGTGGATGGGTTGGGAGGGATTTTAGGGATCATCCAGAGCCAGCCCTGCCATGGCAGGGACACCTCCCACTGTCCCAGCTGCTCCCAATGTCCAGCCTGGCCTTGGGCGCTGCCAGGGATCCAGGGACAGCCCCAGCTGCTCTGGCAATTCCATCCCAGCCCCTGCCCACCCTGCCAGGGAGAAATATTTTCCCAGATTATTTGATAATTCACCATTAACGAGGCTTTCCATGATGGAGATCACATCCCATCCCTGGAAACTGGGTTAAGCTGGGAATCCTTTTAGTACAAACCACAACCATGCCAAAGGGGAAA